CTGTGACTGTCAGAGTGGTTAGTGTGTGTGTGCGGCCTGCCCACTTTTTAGAGACATGCCTAGTCATGCTTTTTAAACTATACACAACCAATGTCAATGTGTCTAATCTTAATCAGAAGTTTGAAAAAACATTTCATATTAAAATCTGGATTTCCTCAACAAACCCATCACATACTTCTTTTCAAAACTGGACTTATGGACGCTTGTTTCCGGTAAAGGTAAATTGGGACTATTATTTTTTCACAATTCTGACTTTTTTTCTCACAATTGGGAGTTTTTATTTCACAATTCTCACCCTTTTTCTGAGAATTGCAATATAAACTCGCAATTGTGATTTATAGTCAGAATTGCAAGATACATATTTAGTCAATTCTGAGACAAAAGGTAGAAATGTGAGAGAAAAAAAAGTGCAATTGCAGGAGAAAAAAATCTGAATTGAGATACAAATTTGCACTTCTGAGAGAGAAAAAAAAGTCAGAACTGTAAGATATAAACTCGCAATTACGAGTTAAAAATTCAGAATTACTCGTAATTGCAATTTATAAAGTCCAAATTACAAGATATTTCGCAATTCTGAGGAAAAAAAAGGTCACAATTGTGAGATATAAAGATTTTTAATAAAATATTTGTGATGGAAACAAGCTTCTATAGAGCTGATCCCTGGAAGGAGACACGGGGCAGTCATTTTTGCTCCAGATGCAAAGCAGAGTGAATCCAAAATTAGCCATAAAAAAGCAAATAGCAGAACTAAAACTAGGCCATTCCTCACCTGTAATCTACAGGGCTGATAAACTCATCTTTAATAAAGCTAACTCTTGCAGGGGAGAGCAGACCTGGTGAAATTAGTGTTGTCTAACACATCAAACCCATCTCCATCTCAACTTAAGACTGGTTTAAATAGCCACTTATGTATATACAAAGCAGTTGTCTATGGCAATGTCCCATCTGGGTTTTCAACAAATGTTTTTCTGTCTCATTGATTTCAAAATTACAAGTCAACAAGGTGAGATAACTGAAATAAATTAAGCACTCTCAGTCCTAAATTTTAAGCCCAACGTATGCTCACGCACAAGTCTAGCTGTGCCCCCAAAACAAATAAAAGCTCTTCATTCAAAGAATACTAACATTTCTTGTTCTCACAAAGCTGTTTTCAACCATGCCACGCAATGCTTTATAGAAGCAGCAACTTTAGTTACTGAGTAATAACAATGGCAGCATTTTTAAAATTAAACTGTTGACATGTTTCATCTGTAACTGCCTGGGCGGATCACAAATGCAATTACTGAGTGTGCCAGTTGTTTAAAAACGACTCAATTTCTTCCGAAGCTCTAAATCAGAATGAAAAAAAAAAATCAGACCAGGACTACTTGTATAAATCCTGTCTTCAAAACTGCTATTTATTGTCTAATTGTTCTAAATCATTATCCAATCAGCACAGACTAAGGTGCATTTCTTATTACAAAGCATACATTTTTCCCTTTAACTTAACATAGATGAGGATTGTGATGGATAAAGTGTGTGAGTGTGTGGTTATATTGTAATAGCATAACCAAAACTTTTGAAGTCATTAGAATTAGAAAACCTACAATAATATGAAATGAACACACCTTTTTTAATTGCTGGTCAAACCAAGACTATATCACTCAAAAGTTTAGGGTTAATAAATTTTTTTTTTTAATACTTGCAGCAAGCATGCATTAAATTGATCAAAAGTAACAGTACAAACATTTATAATGTTATAAAAAAAATACTATTCTTTTGCACTTTCAATTCATAAAAGAATCCTAAAAAAGTGTCACTTTTTCCACAGATAATTAAGCAGCACAACTGTCTTCAACATTGATAATAATAATAAATGTTTCTTGAGCATCAAATCAGTATATTAGAATGATTTCCGAAGGATCGAATGATGAAAGGTCATGTAGCATCACCAATACATTTTCTTTTTTCAAAGCTGAAATATTTTACACAATCCCTCATTACAGGGATAGTTCACCCAAAAATATATATTTTGTCATTTAACTACCCTCAATTTGTTCCAAACCCGTATGAATTTGTTTCTTCTTCTGAAAACAATCAAAAAAAAAAAAAAAAAAAAGTAACCAAAAAATGTATGGACCCCATTGACATCCATATTATGGAGAAAACGATTTTTAGGCGAATTATTTCTTTAAAAATGAGCTCATAAATCAGCATGTACTGTATATGGTACTAATTATTTAGGAGTAATAAAATTGCAGTTTGAAACAGTATAGTATGTCACATTAAAGCACAAAGTATAGAAAACATGCTAACGTCATGAGGTGTCCAATCAAGTGTCTACATCAAATCATCGTGCCGTGTAATGAATCAAGAGAAGACACGTACCTTCCAGTCTTTGAATCTTGGCCTTGACGGAGACGACCTGTTCAAATGGAGAGACACGTAGCTGAAAGCAAGTCCCTGTCAAAGTCTCAATGAACAGCTCCATGGTCTCGCTGAAGGGCAGCTTGTAGTGCACTACGCCTACATTGTCATCATTGAAAAACGGTGGGTTTCTCTTGTCAGTCATTACTGCAAAGGACAGGGCTCAGGATGAGACAATAATGAACCCAGCCCAAGGTGGAGGAGTGAAGGCGGAGAGGCTGCTTCTGACACAGCAGGAACACATCATGCATGGAGCTTAGGGCTGTGGAGAATCACAATCTCTATATTAGTATACAAAGAACATGACTTGGTGTTCTGGTGTGTATACCTACATACAGGGGTTGGACAATGAAACTGAAACACTGGCCAATGTTGGAGGTTTCACATCTATATGTCTGGCGGGCATTGGCGGCCAATCTTCAGAGTGAAGCACGGGTGGATCAGTGATGGTTTGAGCTCCAATATCATGACAATCCTGATTGTATTTGATGGACACGACACTGCCGAGGCCTACCAAACCCTTCTGGAGGATCATGAGCACCTGATGCCTTTTTTACTATATATCAGCATGATCATGCACCAACACACACAGCAAGACTTGTGACAGAAGGGTTTGATGAAGATGAAAGTGACGTTGAACATCTCCCATGGTCTGCACAGTCACCAGATCTGAATATTATTGAGGTGTTTTGGAGGAGCGAGTCCACCAGCATCATATAGTGACCTGGACACTGTTCTGGAAGAGGAACGGCTCATAATCCCTCTGGTCACTGTGAAGGACTTCTATCTGTCAATTGGTGCTGTATTTGGATGCAAAATGAGGCCCTCACCATTCTAACAAATTATTGTGTTGTAAAACCAGGTGTTTCAGTTTCATTGTCCAACCCCTGTACATACACACACATATAGTACTGGTCAAAAGTTTGGAGTTTTTAATGTTTTTGAAATATGTCTATTAAGCTTATCAAGCCTGCATTTATTTGATCAAAAATACAGAAAAAAAAACTAATGTAGTGAAATTAAATTACTACAAATTAAAATAATGTTTTTCTATTTTAATATACTTTAAAATAGAATTTATTTCCATGATATAAAGCTGAATTTTCATCAGTTTTTACTCAATTATTATTATATTTGATAAAAAGTTAAAACAGCATTTATTAAAAATTTAACACATCTTTGCTGAATAAAAGTGTTAATTCCTTTCAAAAAAAGAAGAAAAAATTGCTAAGCCCAAACTTTTGAATGGTACTTTATATAGTTACAAAATGTTTTTACTTTCAATAAATGCTGTTTTTTGTTGTTGTTGTTGTTGTTGTTGTTATTTTTACTTTTTATTCATCAAAGTATCTTGAAAAAAGTTTTACAGGTTCTAAAAAATATTAAGAACAACTGTTTCCAACATTGCTAATAAATCAGCATATTAGAACGATTTCTAAAGGATCAAATGACATTGAAGACTGGAGTAATGATGCTGAAAATTCAGCTTTGCATCACAGAAATAAATTATATCTTAAAGTACATTAAAAAAAACAGCATTTAAATTGTAATAATATTTCACAATATTACTGTTTCTCTGTATTTATTTATTTATCAAATAAATGCAGCCTTAATGTGCATGAGACTTCTTACATATATAAACACACATATATATTTGTATGCCGATCCATCTATAGCACTGAATACTGAACAAGCAATTTATGCCTATTTACTTCTGTTGAACAATGGTTGTTATGAATGTACAATTACTCTAAACAACACAAAAGTGCCTTTAAAGCTACAAATTGTATTTTTTCCAAAGTATTTTCGTCATGAGTCGACTAATAAATAAAGCAAGTTATCCAAATGTCCAGTCGAGTAGCTCGGTTTTTTGACTTCAGATAATCGCTTCGTACATCTAATTGCCATCTTACCTTGACAGCATCATCATCAGCAGAGATCTGTAGGGAAGGACAGCTGGATCAGAGTCCCAGCCACAACACACGCCAAAAGCTAGGTAGTTACCTCTAAAGGTAAACGATATCGAGTCTCCAGTCTCTGAACTGATATCCGACAGAAACTTTCAATAAAAGGCGCTTTAATTCTGTTTTAGTGGCTAGCTGGTTTTAGCAAAGCAGCAGTCAGCCCAGCTAACTACTCGGGGATGCCGTTGATGCTTAGCAATTCCTCCTCCACCTTTGCCGTTTCTTAACGTCAAAAAGATTCCTTATCTTTTTCGAGAAATGAACAATTGCTTTTGTTCCGATGTTATGAGGCTCAAAGGCCCCATTAAATAATAAAAAAAAAAAACTGAAAAGGAGGCAGCCTATTGTGATGTTCTTGATTGACAATGAGGAGAACGAATGACATTAGCCGTTGTAGAAAAAAGAGAGTCACCCATCCAATGGTAACGCAGAGTGGGCGGGACCATGCTCGAGACTCCCCTTTCCATCTCCCGGATGTTACCCTGGTCACCCTGGCAGCGTCAAACAACAATTTGTGACTCTGGGTCCATTTTCAATGTATAACATTAGAATCTTTAAAGATTTTAAATTAAGAAAAAAGTGTTTGGTTCTCTACAAATGTGTTTGAATTCCAGCACTCACACTCAAGTGTACGTTTCATAAAATATATTTTCTTTAGTTTCCAAAAATCATTTCACATGCAACACAAGAAAACTTTAGCTCAAGTTATAAAAACATCAACCACAAAAGCACTTATGTTGGCGCATAGGCTTGGAGTTATGGCACCACATTTGAAAATTTAACCATATAGTTGACAATATCATAGGAATGTCTTTTACACCTCACCAGACGATTCTCATGTTTAAAGTGCTAATAAAAGACACATTAACCGTTGCAGATGTCAATGCCAATTGATGACCGCTACATCATTTACCAATCAGATTACTTCACAGATGGCATTAGAGGTAAAAACACTTACAATCTTCTTTTTTCCTGTATATTTTTTTTTTGTAAAAGTTACCTATTAGAGTTTACATTATTAACAACAGTGTTAGATTACATCTACCTTCATTTAGGCCATGAACTTCGCTACAGAGTTAAACAAACAGCTGTCATGAAGGAGACTTAGTTTCCCCCAAACGCATTCAAGGGATCATCGAATATATCGTGGCCCGTTTCCACAGTTGAGACGGGATCCTGGGCGGGCTGGCTCTTCTTAGACTTGGAGGACGGCTTTACCGTTGGTTTTGTAGTCCCAGTCGAGAAGATATCATCTGTGAGAGGAGAACAGGAAGCAGATACCGGTAATCAGTGTGTCTTTAAGTTGAGCATTTTTATGTTCATAAAACTAAAATTACATTGGGTCAGATGAATGAAATCATGATTCACTGGCGGTCAAAAGCTTGTGAAACAAGTAAGAGTAATATTTCACAATATTAATATTTTTACTTTATTTTTCATCAAATAAATGTAGCCTTGGTGAACATAAGAGACTTTAGAGACATTAAAAAGCCATATTTATTCCAAACTTTTGACAGCCAGTGTATAGGCATGGAGAATTTTGTGTAGACAATTTTCCACACATATATCATAATAAAAATAATATTGGCATAAATATGTGCGCACCATTCACTCACTCCAGACTTATTCACTGGTGTGAATAAAATAAACAGAATTATTAATTATTAAACTCCCATTAATGGAGTTAATAACTCAAATTAAAGGCAGACAGTAGTCTATAACCCTTTCCGTGGTCTTCCCAACATTATGAAAAATACAATTATATTTCATGGATAGAATTTGAGGGAAATGGTACGATTTTCACATTTCATTTTTTTGAATGTTAGTGCAAAAATAAGTATCTGTTCAGTTTACAATAAAAATGAACATCCTAAAATATTATTACTTCATGGGACAAAACTGCATACACTTCATTTAAAACAAATAAAAATACTTTGCAAACTGGAATAAATGAGAAAAAAAAGTAAAGTTTCTCTGAAAAGTAGACCATTTTTTCTTTTGTTTTATGGATACTGAAATATTTTTATACTAAAACAAGGTGACTAAATACATTTTTGCCACGTATTATGACAAAAAAAAAAAATACAGTCCGTCATCTCATGCAATCTCATATTGTCCTAAAGTTTTTTACAGTTAAACACAGTACTATCAAATTGATGGGAATATGCATATGGAAATGATATGCAGATAAGGTTATGTAAAGTAAAATTAGGCATTGTAAGCTCCATATATGAATATTCTGGGTGGGTGAAATGCTCGCTGACTGAGTAATTTTTCTCAGGTTCTGGGATGCTGGGATGTACGTTTTACAAATCTGAAAACTTATAGGATAAAATCTATGCAAAGATTTATACACAAGGCCCCTGGTAAGAATCACAGTGAAGAGTGTTTTGCAGAGAGAACTAACCCATGTCATCATCGAATATAGATTTTGCCTCCACTTTCTTCTTTGCTTTCTTCTCCTTTGGCTTTGTGGCGCCAGTCAAGTCAGCAAAAATATCAACATTGTCATCAAACAAACTTGCATCCAAAGACACTTCCTTAGGCTTCTTCTGGCTCTTGAGGGGTTCTTTCACTTCATCCTGTAAACATTTAAGGTCAATAGAGAAGCAAAAATCAGTCAACTTTTGACCAACTACCGCAACTGATTTATAATACCAAACTAAATGAAAGACTGTGTGATATTTACCTGGAAAATGTCTGGTTTTGCAGGACTGGCCTCTGTCTTGGAGTTTTTACTATCTGTAATTTTACCCTTTCCTGCTCCAAAAATATCATCATCATCATCATCTAGGAAGGACATGTGTTTGGCTTTCTGGACAGGCTTCGGTTTCACTGTGGCAAAAAGATCGTCCTCATGGCTGTCAAAAATAGACGAGGCCTGGTCTTTCTTCGAGGTTATGACGGCATCCGTCTTAGGGGCTTTCTTTTGGACCTCCTCTGGGGTCTTTTCTTTGTGTTTAGAGGAGGGAACAGGCTTTGTGGCAAAGAGATCATCCGATTCAAACAGATCGTCTGCAGAATCGAGAAATCTCTTTGGCCTGACTGCTTCGTCTGGGCTCTTGGCTGCAGCGGGGGTGCTGACGGGTAAAGTGAGCGCTGTGGGTCGCACCGAAACGGGGTTAAAGGTAGGGAGTGAAGCAGCCATGACTGGTTCATTAGCTTGTGAAGAGGTGCTCTCCCCGACAGCTTCCTCAGAGTGCTGTGCTGAAAGTTGTCTCGCTGCCCTCGTCTGCGGCCGCCGTCGCACTGCGCCTTTAGCCCGACCCTGCAGTAGAAAAAAATCCACTGACTACCAAAAACAGCAGTTTTCATCCATCACAATGGCACACAACTGGGACTGCACAAAAATGAAATAAAATCGATATCGCTATTTGGCTTAGAGCAATTGTCAAATCATTAAAACTGCGATTTATATGCAATCGGTTTCAGAGTGAATTACGGAATTTACACACCTGGATATCATGAGCTGCATGAGCGTAAATGAACACAGTACCGAGCTTCACTCTGAAACCGGCAGCGCATATTTCTATTTGCCAGCAACCCGTCAAAATTCAAAGCTCAATGGGTTACTGCTTGAAAAATTAACACAAATATCAGCATTGTAATTTTATAGTAAAATAATTTTATTATAAATAAATTATACAAAATAAAATTAAAAAAATATTTGACAGTACAATATATTTATTATTTAGTTAATATTTTTATTTTTAAAAACAATTACAATAAAACCATAATAACTTTTATTATTTTTAGTCATATTAAATAGGCAAAAACCTATGCATGTGAACATAACGAATGTGGCCTGTGAAAACTAGAGATATATCATTATTTGTCCCCATTGTATCAATTTAGTATAGATACCATGATATTACATTCTGATATCGTAAAAGACGGCAAAATTGTGGTATCGAGTCAACTGTGCCAATTGTGCAACCCTACACACACAACCAATTTTTCATGCCACCTATCAAAGTGTAAAATATACATACTGCAGTCTGACCCACCTTGTTAGCATTCTGTAGCGTGCTGACCTGAGCAGGCGAGTCAAAGCTCACACCCCCCTCACTGGAGGTCTGATCAGGGATAGTATCGGTAGCTGGCAGCGGTCTGGCAGCTGCAGGGAGGGAAGCGGGTGCCAGGCCAGGGATTACGCTGACAGCTCCTGGAATCCGTGGCACCGCGCCTGGCAGAAGGCTGGCAGGGTTGACAGCTAAGCTAGCCTGAAAGAAAAACAAGGCATGGTTTTTTTTTTTAATCTGTGACAAAACTAATAAATACACACAATGCCCTTTGCTCATATGCCAAGATCAGAGAGGAACTGGTCTTTACTATTTTAGAAGTACACTGCATTTGCATTTCCTGAAGCACATAGAAGTGCTTGCAAGGCAGCAACAGAATAGTGTTAAAAAATTCACATTTTAGGTCTGTGTAAATAAGTCAACATGGCTTTAAATTGTTGCAAGAAAGAAATACAATTCAGAATGCAGGACGATGTCATCAATGTTATAACAAGGAAAGTATCAATTTACTGCTGCCTTGCAAATACTGTTAACAGCACATTGACAGAGCGCTGAATCTAGTTTTTCTATTGGTGGAGTAATGATGTACAGCATTGGCATTGAGCGAAACAATGTTATGGCAAAGCTACAAATGTTCTGGTATACCAGAATAAGTGAAAATGTTAACAGGCAAAAATATATGTGTGCAGAAATATACATTTTAAACAGATAAAGGCATAGGTGAGTTGTGAAACAGCCCAATGAAAAGCAAGGTTTTTGCTTTTCTTAGACTTCTAAGAAAGTTCATGCCGGGATGTCAAGTAAAAGATACAGAATATAGAAATACAGAAAACACTGTTTTAACAATGAGAGAAATGGAGCATAAAAAGTATAGAGATTTTATTTTCAAAAAAAGTTACTTGAAGTTCTCCAATCCTTGAGGAAGTTTTTTTAGATTTTAGTGGGCTTGTAGGGTCCTGTGCAATTAAATAATATCAATTACATTTATGTCAACCAATAAAAAACAAAAAACACTTTTATAGGTTCTGGAGGTCTTCCAAAATATGTTTTTTATGTGGTAAATGTATAAAATAAAATGGTAAATGTATAAAATAAAAAGTATTCTATTACTCAAGACTTAATTAATTCTAAATATAATAATATATAACTCATTATTTAAAAAAGGTAAATGTGTCAAAAAAGATTTATTTAATATATATAATATATTACATTTCTATTCGCTACATATAAACAGAATGGTTTTCGCATAAATGTTCTGTTGCTGAAAAAAGATAAATTAAAAAAAACATCAAAGCAGATTTATTTCCCTGCATACCTTGCTTGATGTCAGTGTTGATTTGTCCATTTCATTCGTTTTAGGCTTGCTGGGCTTCTCTGGTACTTTCTGTATGTGGATAATATTGTAGAAGCATTTATGAAGTATTATTATTTACACACACACACAAAAAAAAACGTATTAACTCTCTCTTGCTTTTCTGTCATTTATGACTGAATACATTTTTTTTTTCTTTCCTTCATCGGAATGGTAAAAAACAAAAAAACACGCATAAAAAAAATCATGCTTAAATGGTGCATAAAAAATAGTCACACTCATCAAAAATGGCCGCATTGGAAATAAATGTGAAACAAATTTCATCTATTAGAAAGTTTTCTCGCATTTTTAAAGTAAAACATGTTTTAGAACATACAGTATATATTTCATGTACAAATTTTAAATAGTATTTCTGTGCATTTTTCAATAACAATAATAAACTTAAACTTCTATAACTTTTTTAAGTTCAGCAATAATCTGACAAGTATCTACTTTAAAAAAAAACAGAAATTAAGTTTGTGCTCCAAAGTGTTCAAGATTTATGACAGATTAAGTTTCAGGTCTATGCTCAAAGTGGTTAACAGGTAATAAATGGATTAGAACAACTGCATTAATATAATTTAGTACCATAAAATCCCCTAAAAATACAAAATATTCAATATAAACATTATCAAACTAAAATATAGTACATACAAATTAAAAAAACTAAAAATAAATTAACAATTTTGAGTGCCACACTAGGAGCAACTTTAATGTACCAGTTATGAAAAAACAGTACCGGTGGAGCTTTAGGCTTTGTGGAACCGAAGAGGTCATCCTCATCCTCATCCCCAAACAGTAAGGGGTCAGCTGGTTTCACAGAGCTCTGAGATGACACCTGTAAAATGAAAATACCTCCATCAGTAAGAAACCACCGTCTCACCATAAAGTGGCAAAGTGTATAAAAGCTTACAGCAGGTTTAGGAGATGTGGCAAAGAGATCTACATCAGGATCATTGTCTCTCTGTTGCGTATGACTGAAAAGGAGTTCCTCATCTTGGAACACACCTGTGCTCTTCAGGAGGGACCCATGATCCTGAAAACACAAGCAAAATGAATTCAATAACATTAAATAAGCCACATAAAGCTCCATTCAAATTCACTCCTCACAGTGCTGAATCTAAAACACAAACCTTTAGTGCATTCTTTTCTGTTGATTTGTGTATTTTAGGGGCAGGAACTATTTCATCAGTGTTCATATCTTCATCATCATCGTCATCATCATCAAAAAGACTCAGAGCTGTTTTCTTGGGCTTGGTCCCCTTACTCTCCATGGGCGGTGGACCCTCCTTTTGCAGCTCGTCACCATCAGCAATATCCTCTTTATTCTTAGTCTGTTTCTGTGGAAGAGACAATCTTCAGTTCTGTGACCCTTTATTTATTATTTTATGCTATTCATTTTTATTTTGTTAATTGTATATAATATATTTACATAACAAAAACCTGAATTATTTTGCAAACATTATACTCACTTTACTTGCATCTTGCTTGTCTCCTAATACATCGATCCCACCAAAAAGGCTTACTGCTCCAACCGGCTTCTTCTTAACCTCAGTGCTGTCGTCAGAGGACAGAATAGATTCCACAGGCTTCTTCTCCACAGACGACGACGACTTCTCTGCTATCTTGTCTTTAGCTAAATTGGGCACAATTTCCTCCTCCGTAGATTCGAACAGAGAGGGAACACCAGAAGCCTGGAACACAGAGCAATTCTCAGCTACTAACCAATGACAAGGCAAATAAAATATTTTATTTGGAAGGAAATCGATCTTTTTATTCAGCAAGGATGCATTAAACTGAGTGACAGACATTTATAATGTTATAAAAGATTTTAATTTTAAATAAATGCTTCTTTTGAAACTTCAATTCATCAAAATCCTGACCAAAAAATATTAAAGGGGCTAGCCTACATGTAAGAATTTTCATTTATTATTTGCGTGACCTTCCCTAATGACCTTGGTCGTCTATGAAAGCCTGTAGACTGATTTTTATGTGAAGGATTTGGGCAGGTTTCGCCGGGAAATCAGGGACTACTAAAACTAAACAAAATATATAACATTGGCCTAGTGGTTTTTGGATATTTTCCTCCAAACATCCTGCATATTGTACCTTTAAGCAGCACAACTGTTTTCAATATTGATAATAATATTAAATGTTTCATATATATTAATATTAAATATTAAACAAAATATATTTAAATAAGGGTGGGAAGCACTCCATCTACCATCATTACTGTCAACATTGGGGCCCCTTTCCTGAGCCCCTTTCTCTACACTTTGTACACTGACAACTGCATTAGCCCTTCTCCCATGACAAAATACTTTAAGTACTCTGATGACACAGCCATACTCGCCCTTTTCTCTGATATAAAATCAGTTTTAGAATATCACCAATCCATTACACACTTTACACAATAGTGTAAGGACAGTCACCTCATCCTCAACGTCACCAAGAAGTAGAACTCATCCTGGACACCCTTCGTAAACTTTACACCCCTCACTGCCCCATTTCTATAAACAGTGAATGTGAACCAGTAGAAATTGTTGACAGCTTCAGGTATCTTGGTCTCACTATGGATAATAAACTGAGTTTTGATCACCACATCACAAACATCCACAGACTTTTTGTCATCTGTAAACTTAGGACACTCTCAGTCAATCCACACTTACTGCTTCTCCTGTACCGAAGCATCATTGAACCCATCCTCTTGTACTGTGCTGCCTGCTACTTCACCATGTTCTCCCTCACCAATAAGAATAAGCTTCTTAAAAGTCACCAACACCTCCTCCAAAATAATAGGTCTTCCCACTCCCAACCTGACAGCCCTCATTAATACCTCAACTGCACGTAGTAGTACAAAATCCCAGCCATCCTCTCAAGTTCTCAACTCAAGCTTCACACGTCTCCCATCTGGCCGTAGATACAGACAGCTGCCCTACAAAAAGGTACGCTTCGGAAAAGGTTTTGTACCTATAGGTTTTGTGCTATAAGGGCGTTAAACTTAAAGGGTTAGTTCACCCAAAAATGAAAATTAAGTCATTAATTACTCACCCCCATGCTGTACCAACCCCGTAAGACCTTCGTTCGTCTTCGGTACACAAATGAAGATATTTTTGATTAAATTTGAGAGCTGTATAACTACCACATTGGCTCCTAAGGGACTGCCTCTTGACGGCCCAGAAAGTCAATGAAGAAAATGTTTAAATATCCCAAGTGACTACCGTGGCTCAACTATAAGTTTATCAAGCGACGCGAATACTTTTTGTGCGAAAAAACAAACAAAAATAACGAGTTTATTCGACTATTCCTTTTCTTCCTTGTAGGCCAGAAACGAGACTTCCTTAGATTTCCACGACGCATGCGCGAGAATTGCGATCTGAAGTAGTGTAAGCTGGTGTAAGCAGATCGCAATTCTCGCGATACTATGAATAGTTTGTGTTTTTCCTTTGTACAGACTGTGAAAACAAATTTCCTCCACAAGTAGACAATATTGAACGAAACTGAAACATAAAAGTTATTTTAAACTGTAAAAATATTTTACAATATTACTTTTTACGATACGATTTATGATAAAAAGTATAAACGGGAGCTCCAAAAGTATTTGGACACTTAAGCCAACTTACCTTCGGTTCAGAAGGAGTTTTATTTGCAGGTGTTTTGAAGCCAAAAAGAGGTTCTTTGTCCTCGTCATCATCTTCATCCTCAAACAGGAGAGAGATTCTCTGAGATGACTTGATGCTGCGAGGACAAAAAATAAACTATACAGCATAATGATTTACTATTTCTCTTACTACTTTAGCATGTTCACTGCAAACCTCGACTCATTAGTGGCTGCAAACAGATCATCATCGTCACCACCAAACAGGCCATCTTTTTGTGGTGCTTTGACACTGGGTAGCCTGGAGGGGGCGCTAACGCTTGACTTCATTCCGCTGGGCTTCACTTCTGAGCTTTCTTTGCTGGGCTTAGAGCTCATCCAATGATCCTGATATAGACAAATATTGTGAATATTTTGCCTTGCAAATTTAAAAACAAAGCAAATATTGTAATGTGTCATGTGATATCTGCATGCATCATAAGAAAAACTGACAAGATAAAACCGAATGAACAAAAGGACTCTTTTGTAATTGTTTTACTAGTGTTAAAACTCAAAAATACCTCATCGTCGCTGAAGAGGGAACTGGATAGAGGTTTCTTGGTTGGTAGAGATGTTTTTTTGACCTGAATTGACTTGGACTTTGGTGTCGATGAAAAAAGGTCCTAAAAGATCAAAACAGACTTGTTGAAAAACAGTAAAATATGTATAGAGAGATTTAAACTAACTAGGTTTAACATCACCTCCTCTTCTTCATCATCAAATAATGAGAGCGGAGCTTTACTGGGCTTGTTCTGAGTAGTAGGCTTTGATTTACTTGTAGTCTCACTTGGAAATAACTTTTAATAAAAAACACAACAGCAAATACATCAGTGACAAGTATCAGGAGTCAGTTTGTAATTAAGGTTAGGTGATAAAATGAAAACAAATATTTTTAAAAGGTATAAATCTGGATGTTTATCTCACATTAGTACACTAAAACATCATCTGTCATCACAATTGTTATTAAACACATTAATTCACTTAAATCACTGATTTGAACTCGTCACTTTTACCTTTGTTCGGTGAAAATCCAATCATTCAATTAATTACATTTTACACAAGAGCGAAAACATTTCCTACACAGCTTTCTAGGGCGTTAATCTCCCTGTCGACTAGTCGATTTATTGGTCCATACATTTTGGCTCGACCAAAATTCTGATTGGTCGTTTTTTTTTGCTGTGAGCTCCTATGTTTAGCCTCGCTCCGTGCGAGGACACGCACAGAGCGGATGAATTGATAGTGTCTGTCAATTAGTATAACATATGACAAAAAACAATTGTTTAAATTATGTTGCATATTCCTCAACAGTTCTTGTGCTGATATCACTAGTTGACATAGTACTATGTTCGGAAATCATAGGCTAGCTATAATATTGCGCAGAGGCACATGATGCAACTCTGTCAGAGCCGACAGACTCCTGTGTGTCATTTCAGTGCAAAACAATTAGGTCAAAATGTAATATATTCCAAATAGCCTACTAGTTTTTGTTTATTAATAACTCATTTAGGCGGTAAAGGCTACCAAATACAGCGCAGCTAATTAATCTAAAGTTTTTATTCCCGCGTTTTTCCGCGTTTCCCACTTCATGCGTTTTACCGATCAGAAAGCTATCAGATTTGCTAAAATTGTTCCATTTACAATTAGACAAATATAAATCTGATCTTCAATTCCTGACGTGTAATATGCAAATTTAACATCAGCTCACATCAACGAAAATCAACATCAAAAAAATCGAAATCTAAGATGGCAGAGAGAAAGATCATTTAGTCTCATTACTTTTGATGAATGTGAACTTTCAGTTTATTATTTGTGGCAGTTTTGGCTTGCTGAAGAGACACTCATCTACTCATCTACTGTGGTCCATATCTGATCTGTGGTGAAACGTATTGCAGTAGCGCTGTCTTATGGAGCCGGAAGTCTATAAAATGCTCTATACCAGGATCTTAGATTTACTAAAATCCTATATCAATAAAGTAATACAAAATTACTGCAATATTCACATTGTTGCGCTATTTTAGAACAATAGCGAAATAATTGCTAAAAAAGTAACCCAGCACTAATTGTAATACATCAGAAAACTGCAAATAGACTCTGTATGATGACTTTAGAAAAGTGATGTACTTGTGAGTCTTCTTCGTCTGAGAACAGACTCTTGCTAAGTGCTTTCTCCGATGCTCCCAGAATAGGTGAAGATTTGACTGCTTCAGGTGGAGGTCCACTCTGAAAAATAACAAAACAATAATTGTTAAATGTAAAAAAAACCAAAAAACTTTTAACACAGCAGACACTAATACAACATGAGAGTAAGGGAGTGTTCACAAGTGGTAGGTTTGGAAACGCTTCCTCCTTGGGGCAGATATTGGTTTGTGTGTAACAGAGAACTTCCTTCCACTGTTTTGACTGCTTTACACATTTTCTCAGCTCTTTGAGTTCATGTACACAAATCCAATACGTGCATTGTGTTGGCTGTTCGGTAAGTTACGTGGCAAAATACACGTTTTTATATATATCTTTAGGTCTGGTGTTAAAAAAGGCAGTGTTAAAGCAAAGCAAACCAAGACTCAATGTATCCATTTCTTTTTTGGTCCATACCAAAAAGAACCAAACTACAAGTGTGAACACACCCTAAGAGAGAAAGAGTTTTCTACCTCTTCAGATTTGGTGGACTCTTCACTGGTGGAAGGCCGGCGTTTCTTCAGACCCTCCAGTATATTTTTAGTGCCGGGCCCGAACATTGAAATGGCTCCAGCAGGGGGCTGCAAGCAAGACAATCAGTATAGAAGCAGTAACAACAACCATAATAAAATGATGACGATGATTAACAAGCAGACCTTTTTCTCTGGAGGACGGGTCTCTTCCTCCCCTTCGATTCTTTTTTCCTGCAGGGGAGGAGCTACGCTGGCTTTCTCAGTGTATATAGCCCCGTCTTCATCATCATTCTCCTCATCAGCTTCCCCAAACAGGTCTACTGTTTTCTTTGGTATTTTCTTCTCTAGTGATAAAAAAAATCAAAGATACACATTTATTCCCCCAAAACAAGAGTAATTTTTCATACTGCAGGGAAAATGTGAGAGGTTTACCAGCGGTGGATTTGTTATGGATCTTTCCACTGAAGAAGTCATCATCATCATCGTCATCACCACCATTATCTTCATCATCAAAGAGCCCACCCCCAACTGAGGCACGTTTTGAAGCTGCCTGCACTTTGGGCTTCACTGGACTGTGTTTGCTCTCTAGTGACTCCGAATCGTTTGGTGAGCCAAACAGCTTGTTTTCTGCGGGTGAGAGGGGCATGAAAATATCGTACTCATTGATTAGTAGCAACAGCTAACTTTTATGCAAATGTGCGAGTATGCAAACTGAATGCAGTTAATGCTTACCAGGAAAGATGGAGACAGCTCCAGTGGGGATTTTCTTAGTTTTAAGGGGCTCTGTAAAAGCAAATGAAAAAGATAAGATTACTATTGGGTAAATGAGTTGTCAACACAGTGGGTTTCAGAAGGTACACAAGAGAGGCCGTGAGAAAAAGATAACACAGTCAGCCAGTCATTATAGGAAAACAACATCCTTACACAAAGCTTGTTAAATGACTATTAACAAAATACATTAATAAATAGAAATTAATTTACTTTTTTATTTCTTTTTTTTGTGAGAAGAAAGAGATTGCAGAGTGAAAGCAGGAAATCAGTTGGCAGGAACAATGGATCATTATGCAAAAATAGTTTTGGCATGCGTCACCAGAAAGGTCTGGCATTTCACAGAGAGATCGAGTTATGATATTTTAATTAAAAATGACAAAGTCAAAACAGCTATTTTTAAAGAAATAAAACATGCATGGACTAATTGATCTCAATAACATGCATTTAGAAAACTATTATTTCATGCCAACTATTCTGTTTCTTTAAATGTCATCAGACAAACAAAAAAATACTATATGGTCATAAGTCTAAGAGATCAAGTAGGACTATCCAGCATTTGACTTTGCATAAAAGACAGCAAAAGAGTCCAAAGGAGTAACAATCAGTAAGTCTCACCTGTTGCCTGGGTCACAGTCTTTTCCTTTTCCACCGGCTCGTTTTTGGGTGCATCAGAAAACAGATCTCCCTAAGGAACAAAGCATATGAAATTACTTTCAAAGATTGCAACCACGTCTTCTATTTGCATTTGTATGATTTTGTATGTTGACTACATTGATATTGATCTAACCAACCTCATCGTCATCATCAAACAGGCCTTTGCCTCCACTAAAGAGACCTCCCTTCCCACCGAATGGAGAATATTCCTCATCTTCCATTTTTGGAGGTTTGAACATCTCATCCTGATCATCTTCCACTATAATTACATATGCATACAATCTAAGGCATTATTTTACTAGATATATCCTAGAGAATTCTATGGATTCTATGAAACTATGGTATATTATGCCAGAAACTTCAAAAAATAAGTAACAGTGTAGTTGTTTTGAATACAAAACGATACAAATATAATTTGAAGATTCATAAGTGTACATATTGTACACTACCGCACAAAAGTTTGGGGTCATTAAGATCATTAAGGATGCATGACATTTTTGCCATAACAAGAAAAAAAGTTGCATTTTAGTTGTTAAAATATTTCCCAATATTACTGTATTTTTAATCAAATAAATCAGCTTTGGTAAGCATTGAGAAATATGCTACAGACCCCAGATTTTTAAACGGTAGTCTACAGAGTGCAAAATACAGCAGAATGATCTGATAAACATGGTATGAGGTCATACCCTGAGGTTTTGGCTCTTTCTTAGCTTTACTCTTCTTCTGGGTGATAGATGGGCCTGATGATAATGCTTGAGAACAGACAAGTACATGCACACACAAACTTGAGAAAGAAAACAAACTGAATGGAAAGATGGAAATGTGGTAAATAATATAACAGTCAAATCTATATGTTCTAAGTGACCTTACATGCGCGATCTGCTTCTGGCTTATGTGGAGTCTCTCCCTTGATTCTGGCTGCTAGTTCATCAGCAAAGGATGGTAGAGCAGGGTCCTGAAAGACATGGGACACAGGAAATTGAAGTTCTAGTTAAGTTTGCACATTTTTACTCATTTGCTTGGCATGTCTGAGGTGCACCTTTCTGAGTTCATCTTCATCCTTATCAGACCCTCCAAATATGTCAGAATCTTCATCTTCATTCTCTTCATCAGCATCATCATAACTAGCAACGGATGGTTTCTATGGGATGATTTACAGAATTAGTGCTGTTATCAAATGTCATTTTGTTCATTTTAATAAATGGGACAATTTAAAGTTATAAGCATTAATAATAAACACAAATACTGAATTAAAAAAAAATATGTAAATGTTAAATCTAAATCTTGAGTTGTAGAAAACTTTTAGAGAATATGCTATTTAGAAATGTCCTGGTCGATGTTAGATTTAAGATTTATATATACCTTTCACATATAAATGAAATCGTTTTTTATATTTCTTAAATTACTAGAGCATAATGATGGGATGCTTAAACCCCTTTTAAAAGCATAAGTAAATCTGACAATAGTGGGTTGTTTTAGTTTTATAACTCGTGTTGTTTTACATGTGACATTCCATATCTATAAAACATAATTACCACTGCTGTAAAAGCATCTGCATACATATATTTCACATATATCCTTTACCTAATGCATTACATCCTAATATGGTGTAAATCCCTTACCTGGATAAACTAAAAATAATGTTTCAAGTCTTACTTTCTTAAAGTTGCCATGGATGTCCTCATCCTGGTCAGAATATTCATCGGAGTCCTTTTGGAATAGAATCCATATTGAGGATTGCATATAAATAAATGTATTTATATATTTATGTGTGTTGTCAAAAAAAAAATGGTTATGTGTTTGAAAATAGAATATTTATTCAAAAAATAAAATATGTTAAGAAAATGTCTTTAATGTTCATTAAATGCTAATGTTGCAATTCATGTAAATGTATTGTGAACTTTATATATTATTCTCTCTTACCTCATCACCTTCTTCAATATCACTCTCAATGACGCTGTCTCTGTCACTACCGACAGACATTTCTAAAACAAAACACAGCAAACAAAAGAAGTTAAAAGCAACCTACAACAACAATAATAAATAATAATAGTACTAAAGATTATGAATGGGAAATGTCACCATCACTGGATAGATCTCCCAGGCCAACATCCTCCTGATCCATAAAGGCTTGGGATCCAATCAAGTATGGCAAAGGCCTGTCCACATACAGGTCCTACCAATAAAACACATTTAGGCTCAAAACCTTAAAATCACCATAAAATCAAGAGTGACCATTACATTTATGTATGGATTCGGAATACTGCATTATTTATTATAAATTATTTATCAGTGCACATCACTATTTTTTGTTATTCATGTACCCTTGGAATCTATAATAAAACGAACTTCCCCTCCCATGACATCTCTTCTCTGATGACACGTTGATTTGCGCAAGGGCGGGACAACATGTCACTCACATGACATCACAGCAATAGCAAACCACAACTATCCAATCAATTCCAGATAAATCGGAAGTGTTTTACTTGTTTGAAAAACTGTTTCACTCAGCTATGCAGTACATCACAATAGGGAACAAAAGACTATTGCAACTTCTGTTTCATGCCAACTTTAAGACTGGTGAAGACTGAAGTTCACTAATCTGTACATCATTAATCCAAACACCACTAAGGGCTCTAAGGAAACACTTCACCTTTGCTTCCAAAATGGGCTCTACTTTTTCCAGAGCCTCCTCATCCTCAGAGTCCGAGTTTCCCGCTTTAATGTCGAGCTGTTCGAAAGCAGATTCCAGGACTTTCAGGCCATAGTTGACGGCTTCTTGGACTTTGGGAATAAGTTCTGCTTCCTTCTGTTCCCTTGTCTTCTCCTTTACATGTGTATGAAATGGTAGGAATGCTTGAAACCATTGTCAGAAGTTTTCAAAATATTACATAATATCAATGATCCACAGCTGAAATAGCCAGAGAAACATCCCCAAACAGTACCTGTTCAGGCGGTCTCTCCATGGTTTCTGGCTTTGGTCCAGGGTCTTCCACCTCTTCATCATAAACCCTCTGAGTAAAAAAAAAAAAAAAGCAGATAAAAAAACAGGGTTTGTGTGTGCTTAATCTCTTATTGTTCTTAATCAAATTTAACAATCTCACTGACATGAGCTAAGCAAAATGCTGACTAAAGAATTCACAGTTGGGCCATTTTGAGTCTCAAGGGAGGAAATGTATGAATATCATAAGCTGACAAACTCTCCCACATATTTTCTCAGGACAAGTGTGATATTTCAGTTTGTGAAACTTGAACTAATTTGCTTTGCATCCACATACAAAGTGAATTCTCATTTAGCTAAAATCATGAAAAAAATGTACATACATTTTCAATGAACTGTGTGTTGGACAGCATGAGGAAGTCATTAAACACTGTATGTAGGCGGCTGTCGGTGGCTTTAGTGTCCCGGATAAGACCATCCAACTGCTTCTCAATCTCATGTGTCTTTGACAGCATCCTCTGAGAGAAGTCTTGCAGAAAAAGAAATAACTGCAGACATACAAAGAAACATTCACTCTAAACCATCTGTAGAAAGTGGCATCATGCATAAACAATATGAATATGAAATATGAATGCATTCCACTCCATACCCCTGAATCTGCAGCCAGAGACCAGTTTGTACCGGATTTCTGCATCTCTTCCACTGTCCAGGGTCTTTCCCACACCTGCTCAGCCTCCCCATTGTGATTACTGGGGCCATTTTCCATAAAACTAGACATGCTGGTTGAATCTGTATAAGATAAATTTTACTTGAATATATCTCTGATGCAATGGACATTATGACTTATATAGGACTCATCACTGTCCCTTGTGAATAAGAAGTGCACATAATGATGGTGGACTATAAATCTTAAAAGAATATTACTAAAAAACGAACTTGCAGATAATATATTAATGAAACTATTAACCACTTAACACAGTAAAATGAATTATAATCAAGTATTTTACACAAGCTTTAATAGCCTATTAAAGCTTATGTAAAATACTTGATTATAATTCATTTTACTGTGTTAATTGACATTACATAGATTTTGAATGTTCTACATTTCAAACGTGTAATTGTAAATACATTTAAAATACATTAAAAAAAGTTTCAGGAAAAGTTAAATGAAAGATTATATTAGTTTACCATAAATGCTTGTCATTAAATTCGGCAGTACACTTTAACCATATTTCAAATACAATAGAAATAACTATGAAATTACAAATAAAGATGCTACTTAATCGTTACTTCAGCAGGCCAAAAAGCACACTAAGGTCATTATTATGACTAAATGTAAAACACCTTTTTATTTATTTGTAAATTGCATCCAATTAGGTTTATTCCTAAGTATTCTTTTCAAGTTCATTATTTCCATAATAAGTAACTTAGGCTACTCTTTTATGATATGATAAAGTGTACTTCTTTTTTACAAGGGGTTAATGAACGCTTATTTATTTAAAGCTAACGTTAGACATTTTTATACTTACCTAACAAATTATATAACGTTACAGTGTAAAGTAAAAACCATAGCTATCTCTCAAATTACAATTCTGAGGGAACTTTCAGAAGTTAAAACGTTATAACTGTGTCAATCAAAAAACAGCATATGCAGAAGCGATTATCTCGTAAGGTACTTCTTCAAATCTTAAACGGTTAGAAATATGAGAACATACATCGGAATGCACTTTGTATCCTTAATTATCTGTTATTTTGCTGTTTTTTAATGCATTTATATGTGATTGCTCTAACTGCTGTCATGCAAGGCTAGCTGCTGTGCTAGCAACTTAACGTTATAGTCTGAATCTTTGCTGATTTCATTTCATTCACTGATTTACCTTATATATGTACTGTGGTAAAATATCTTCTGTAGTGTTTTCCTTCACCTTAAATTCTCACAAATCCAGCAGTGAGAGAAGTCAAGAGCAGCTTAGCGCTGTCATTTGTCCCATCATCAGTTCAGTGTTTTGAGAGGTCCGCCATGTTCCGTCTGCAGAAAATCAGCTGATTCTAGTCACCTGACAGAGGCGCGCGGCACCCACGCTAGAGTCCTTCTGATCTGAGAACAGCTTCTGATGCGAATGAATTCACCATAGATAGCGTTTCACAAACGAAGCGAACTTAAACTGATCTCAATGCAGCACTTCCTGAAAACAGGAAAATATGCAATTATTTAACGGCTTAAGAATGGGTGAATGTAATCTTTTGGCAAAAATAGAAGCATAAAATATACTATGTGGATAAGTCTTGTAAACCATCAAATGTAAAAAATAAATAAATAAATAAAAAATCTGAGAAAAGGCTGATTCTGAATCAATAAAATCTTAAATGTGAATGTAAACCATGCAGGAGGTGATTTGTTAGCTGTTTGACTATTTATGTTGCAAAACACATCTTGAGAATTATTTTTTTTACTAGGGAACATCCAATCCGGTGGATTATCTTTAAGTCTTACTCCCTCGTAAAAACTAGAGGGTTGAGCAGATGTTGTACAAGACTTGTTCCCATCACTAAGAACTTCCCCTTTTTGGTCACTCCCTGTCCTGACCACTCTTGGGTCATGCCTGTGAAGAGATGACTGCAAGGACTAGCTACAGATGACACAAACTCTGAATCAACATTCACCAAAGAAACATTTCTAAATATTGTAATCGTTATGTTTACAACTTGTAATAACATTGAGCTCATTGTTTCTGCCTTAAATTAATACATTGATAGCTGACTGAATGATTTGTACTTGCCTACTTGAACTTGTACTTTTGTACTTGGACAGTCACCTCTGATAACACTGTTGTATGAAGGCGCATTTTCTGTAAAGCTGCTTTGAAACTATGTATTGTGAAAAGGGTTATATATATAAATGTGTGTGTGGGGGGGGGGATCTGAATTTTTTTTTTTTTTTTTAACAAAAGGACCTTTGTTAAAATTTGGAGATGTGATGCTACTGGACAGGATAAGCCTGCTTATGTAGACTATTTATTTACAAGTACAAACCCAGTGCTGAATTCTATCTTTAATGTGCAAAATACAGAACCAATAAATTCTGCAATAACCTCCTGCTATTGCTAAATGCTGAAATGGTGTAGGGTTGGCTCTGGAGGTAAAATGTAAAATGTGCAAACGCAAATGGAAAAATTAAAAGAAAATATAAAATCAAAGTGGGATTTTTTCTCTTCTCAGTAACCAAAGGTAAATAACTTAAGAAAAAACTAAAAAAGGAAATTAATAGTGACCAGATATAACTTGACATAACCAGTGACAACATGACAAAACTATATTGTAAAACAAGCTGCCCATTTATTCGCAGAAGACAATTTCTTCCACTCATCAAAACTTGTGTCTCTCAATGTATCATGTTTAATCCAATACATTATTAACGAGTAGACATTTATGACTTTAAAAGTAAACAATCAATCTTGAAATAAAAAAAAGATATTCATATGGGTTACACTCTATTTTAATGTGTCCTTGTTACACTATTTATACATTTAAGTACTGAGTAATATGAAGTAACGTACATATACATCGTTTGGGGTTAAATGCATGTAATTATGCATAATTTATAGTTATTACAAAAGTAACTACATGTAACCTATAACAATGACACTAAAATAAAGTGTTACCTTAATCTGTTACACACAACTTTCAAATAAACAAGCTGTTTTAAACTCAAGAAGTTCCCCCTGTAATGATCAAGAATGAAGAAAATGATGCTAAAATATGCATATGGGTAAAATAAACCGTAAAAAAAAAAACATAGCAAATGGCTGACATTAAAATAAAATCAATTCTGGCTACTATATTGTTATTGCATATTTTCTTATTATTACGAAACTTACACATAGCGACCTTGATTTATATATAAATGTTTCTTTAAAAAAATCCCATAAAACACTCTGATAAAACACTTTTTACCACTAGTCTAGCATGACACGTCTGCGTGGTTTCGTGTGACTGCTGAATCACACAGCCACACTGTTTGGGATTCTGTCTGGAGACAGATAGTAGTAGGGCAGCTTCTTCCCCTCATTTCGGCTCTTGACGGCTTTGGTCAATTCTCCAAGTTTCTTGCGGAATTTCACCATCGCCTCTTTCACAGGTTTCTCGATGAAGTGTTCATCTGGATACATACCTAGAAACAGCTGCAAAAATCATACATTTCAGAATGTGTCATTGTTCACATCTGAGCTTGTGTGTATTCATGTAGATATGCCCTTATTTCATACCTCATTTTCTTGAAACTGACTGAGGGCCCACACAGCGCCCAGATGCCAACAGGAGCGTCCTCGATCAGGCAGACTCTCCACGATGTACTTCATATCCACCTCGCCCTTCTTTGTAGGAGGAGGTTTTCGCATGGTTGGGGGGGAATTTGGAATCCATGAACACCAGTCAAACTGGAGTAAGAGTCAGAACATGGATATTAGTTTTGTTGTTCATTTCACTTTACAACAAAATATGGCAGAAACATCATAGTGTGTAATGTCACCTGGCCGAAGTTAACTGCGGCATGTTGTGCAGAAGCAGTGAATATGACGATAGTTAGATACTCCGCTAGCTGCTCTTTGGTTTGTAAACTCTTGGGAAACTCTGCAAACAATGACAACTTGTCATCAATATAGGGTTCATTCAGAGGTCAGACACATTTACAGGCCAGAAATTGAAGGCCAGTAGCCCTATAACTAGTTATAAGTTAAATATTTGCCAACTAAAAGATGTGTTTCAGTTCACCTGCTGAACCTGTTTCATTATTCATAAACAAACAGTGCTACAGAGTGAGTTTCGTCACTACCTTGAAAAAGAAGCTGCAGAAAGCTAAAAGCTAGCCATAGCGCCTTAGACACCATGAGCTGACTTTCCCTTCCCTTGTGGTGTAAAATATGTAGTTGGACTGTTTCATGTAACTTAGTTGTTCTCCCTCGCTGTGTTATGGCTTTCACAATCAGGTGATTAGTACTATTGACCGTAAAACAGTAACGTTACAGGAGTGAAAAACACGTCGATCTTGGGAGCATTTTAAGACGATCACGAAGAGTTTTCAAAACCAGAGAAAAAAAATAATATTTGTATTAATTTTTATTTATTAATGAGTGTAGTTTATGGTGTTTAAGGGATGTGGAGGCGAGCGCGCTGTAATAACAGCATTTTCATTTGTGAGTGAACTAACCCTTTAACATCAGACTTTCTTATCACACATTATCATACAGTATATAAAGAACAAACTCACCCTTGGGAAAGTGTTAAATCTATTAAATGTGTACTTGTGGGCTTCAAATGTATTTATTTTTAAAAACAGTATGCGCAAATAATATAATGTAAATGAAATAAAGGCCACTTAAAGGAGTAAATCATTTTTTTTTTAAATTTTGCAGATTATTTACTCACCCCATGTCATCCAAGATATCCATGTCATTCTTTCTAGCGAAACGATCGGCCATTTAAAAAATAAATAAAAAAGTTTAGGTTTTATAAGCACAAATGCTCGCCTTTCTCTGTTCTGTGAGGAGAGTTCGTGACTCTCCTGTTCAAACTCGTTCCTCAAAACGAACAAATCTTTTTTCAAGTCATGACTCGAAGGGTCCTAGATAAGACCCTTATTCATAGTCTGGTGTCGTTTAAAGCCCTTTAAAGCTGCACTGAAACTCTCATTTGGACCTTGACCCATTTGGTTCCCATTGAAGTCCATTATATGGAGAAAATCCTAGAGTGTTTTCATGAAAAACCTTAATTTCTTTTCGACTGAAGAAAGAAAGACATGGACATTTTGGATGACATGGGGGTGAGTAAATTATTAGCAAAAGTTTTTTTTTTTTTAAAGTGAACTACTCCTTTAAGTGTACTTAAAGAGTGTACACTTGTCTTATAATAAGTACTCTTTATAAAGTACTTATAAAGAGTACACTCAAGTGTACTCCCTTTGCATCATGCAATTTTTTTATTTTGTTTTAAGAAGATATTTACCACATTTGTCAAAATCTTGCATTCCAAAACTGCAAACATCTTTCACAAATGCCTGGATCTCTTCATCACCCTGAACTGTCTCATCTTTGTCATAGTAGATGTTCACTACATCAGTCGCAAAACTAGAAAGAGAGCAAATCAATATCAAATTACTAAACAAAAAACAAGTTTTTATCGAATATTTTTCATTCCTTTTTACAACTGAATGTTTATTCTTCTTTTTATCAGCCATGTAACGTACCTTGTCACAGCCTCCCAGACCTTGCAGCCATCATCTCTGTAGAAGTAGTAAGGCAGTTCCTCCTGGCTGTCCATGCCTCGTTCTTTTATGGCCTCTGGGAAACACAAGGACTTGTATGTGAAGGTTTTCATGGACCTCTGGACTAGTTCTACGTGGCCACCTCCACCTGTCCCATTAGCCTGTAATACACACACAGAGATAGAGAACTGAAAAATATCTTAAGATTAATAAAATGTTCATCACATTAAGAAAAAATATGGTTCTTTCAAGAACTGATCGCTGTAATGTTGTTTTTTTTTTTTTTTTGGAGAACAGAATGGTTCTTCTATGGCATCACTGCGAAAACCCTCATTTAGGACCCTTTAAAGTAGCCGTATGCAAGATTGTGGCCAAAACTGGTACTGCAATCACTTTACTGTAACTCAAATTACTGTAGAGCGGTGTATCTTGACTTGAGATATGCTGCAGGATCCAGCAGGAACGTAGGCTGCTACAAGAAGCTTCAAATGGCATGTGACGAGTCCTACAAAGTGATTTGTTTTTCTGTTAATTATTTATTTCTGACTTTGTCACGAAGTATTTCAGATTCATATCAAGGTTTTTTTGGTTTCGCAACATTAGACTTTTTTTTTTTTATCTGATTCCGAGACGTTTGTATCTGCAGCTATGGTAATTACAGAAGAGCTGGCAACCCGAATGCCACAACACTACTGACTCCGTGATTGGTAGATCGGTGGAGGGTGACGCAACAGAACAAAACACAACATGACAACATCAACATCAGTTGAAGGCTGCAACTTCA